CCGGCAGCGCAGGAGCTTTGTTCCGCCGGCGCTGGAAGAGCCCCGATCGGGCAGCGCTGCGCGGGTGCAGCGGGTCTGCGGCCGGCCCGGCCCGGTGCCCGTGTTGGAGCTCGATCTGACCCCGCGTTTGGAGCCCGGCCCGGTGCTGCGTTCGGTGCCCGCGCTCCGAGCCCGATCTGACCCCGCATTCGGAACCCGATCTGACCCCGCATTCGGAGCCCGGCCCGGCCCGGTGCCCGCGCTCGGAGCCCGGCGCGGCCGCTCCAGCTCACGGTTTCAGGGATGTGTTTGTATCGCCCGCAGCGGGTGAGACACGTTGGAGCGTGTGGGATTTCCATCCGCGATGGTGTCAGCGCTGGTTTCCRTCTGGCTCCTGGACAATACAGCCCCAGCCCTCATGATGGGACTGGAAGGAGCAGGGGGAAAGTCAAAAWTGCCTCGGTCATCTCTTCGTCCAAATCTCAGATTTCACAGGCAGTTTTTGGTGTCCTGATTGATTTTCAGATGCGCCCACATTCTTGCAAGGCCTGAAAGTGCCTGGGAGCAGAGCTCTGCTTTGTAGCCCTGGCATTGAGAGGCAGAGCTGCCTCTGGAGCCTGCAGGAAGGACTGGGATAGAGTAGGCTCCTCTAACAGATTTGGGGCTCCCGAAAATGGCAGAGGAGGGAATCCAAGCACGGTGATTTTGAAGCAACGCTTAGCTCACATTTGGTGGTTCCTGCCTAAAGCGTGGTGTGCTGGCATCGAATGCAGTGCTGCTTCACCTGCATGGCCAAGAGGCCACGCAGCTCTAGGCACCCTTTAGTCCATTTTGCAAACCAGGACTGGCTCTTTGCAGCCTCTTACAGCTTCATTTTGCCTTTAAACTAAATGAGGGGGAGGGAGGGAAGGTACTACCCCTCCTAGCCTAGCAATCAGTGACCCTTTTTTAATATRGGACCTACTCAGCAATGGATTCATGTTTACTGTCTTCCCTCAGCACAGCTGAACTGCCGGAGTAGAGTTGTTGCTACTCAGAGTCATGGATAGTCCATCAAAGTTGGAAGAGTCTTCCAAGATCATCCAGTCCAACCATCAACCCAGCACTCCTGTACCTCCRAAATCACTAAAATATAACTCAGTGTCAGGTCCAGATGCCTCTTAAGCACTTCAGGGATGATGATTTCACTATCTCCCTGGGCAGCCCCTTCCACTGCCTGATGCCCACCATACAGTGAATTTTTTTTTCCAATATCCAATATTAAAATACCCTGTCTCAGTTTAAGGCCATTTCCTCTCATTTTCTCACTGCAGGCACAGTAGAAGAGASTGGTCCCCTGCTCCTTTCACCCTCCTGTGTGAGAATTGTAGAGAGCAATCAGGTCTCCCCAGAGCCTCCTCAAGACTAAACAACCCCAGCTCYCTCARCCATTCTCCRTAAGACAAGTTTTTTAKACCYTTCACAGTCCAGAAAGTCCCATGATCAGGAAGATATTTGGCCTATATTTTCATTTGTCCAGTTTCATCCAATTAATCCAGCATGTTGTGTACTCCCCTAAACAGCTTTTCTCCTCTGGCTGTGTTTTACACACAGCTATCACTGATTTTCCCAGCCATTACCATCCTTTCTTTTTATCTCCTTTCATTAATCAGTCCCTACAGCCAGTTTATCACTGTCATTGTTCTTCTTTGATACCTATTCAATTTCCTCATCTCACAGAKCCGTACATTTAGGGCCTGATCCTTTGTGAATACAGCCAAAATCCCAGCATTTGTCTCCAAGCAGCTTTAAAGGCTTGTACAAAACCTGTCCCCTGACATGGTTCTGAATCAGGTCTGGTCCTGTGTGTCCTCAGCACTCACTCTTGCAGTGCCGTTGCAATCTGCTTTCCCCCACAGACATTCCAGGGAAGCTGTGTGTCCCAAGTTTCATTTTTCCCCCTGGACTTTCAGCATCTGTTCCTTCTGGGATCACTGATGGCTGCTGTTCCTCACACTTTGATTCATGGCCTTACAAACAGGCTTGATCCTTCTCCTGAAACCTCTCAACTGGTGTGGATGGTTGCAAGTATCTGTCCAAGTTCTGTTTTAGAGCTATTCTCTACCAGCTCCTCCTGTTTGTTTTTTCCACTACTCCACTAAATGTGAGTGCAATGGATGAGAGCTCGAAAAAGTAGGGAAGGAAATGTGTAGAGAGGGCCACAGGCGTGATTGCAGCACCTCCTCAACCACAAGTGAATCCCACTGAAGCTGCTGTGAGAAAGATRGGAAGAAAATGTGGCTGGACAAAACACAGTCCACCCCACCCTGTGCTGTGCCCTTGCCAACAGAAGCAGGCATGCCTCAGCCAGGATGGTGAGATGCTACACAACRACTGCAGAACACCTTTGAACCCTCTGAACAAGGAGGGCCAAACCCTTTGTTGTGTGTTAACATTTCTGCTCTGCCCTTGTTCCTCTGCCCCGATTTCTTGCAGTTCCTCTCATTAGTTTAATCTCTCGAGACATCAGACTTTATGGTCCTGAAGAAAAACGCTGCCCARTTTCCTGGTGTGCAGGGTGCTCCATGATTGCAGGACAGTTCTGGAAAAGTAAGGAGGAAGCTTCTCCAGCTGTCAGCTCCCCTTTAGATCTGTGCCACGTGGAGATTGCACAGAGCAGAAAGGAAGTCCATTAGCTCGTGTTTAACCTTGAACAGGYTCCCAGTGGGTTTCTTTCCCTCTCACCTAGAGGCTGCTGCTTAGCTTATCTCCAGGGAGGTCCCATTCGTTAAAAGCAGGATTTATGATCTGGCAGAGCCGCCTGTCATCAATGCTCCAGCCAGAATTCCCCTAACTTTTGTTCRGCTGGATGGCAGCAACACTAACACCTCACCTCTGAGGTGAGGCCAGGCTCCTGCCTTGCTCAGAGCTCTCCAAAAAAGGGAAAGTGAGTGCTCTGTTGGGGGGCAGCAGCAGGATGAGAAAAGCAATAGACTGAAGTATGTTCTTCTCACAGTGGYCTGAAAAGTCTGGCTTTAGATTGTATTTGTGTTATATTTGCTGGCCTGAAGCGTGTCCCTGAGAACAGAGAAAACCCTGAAGTAAAGGAGACAAACCACCATTCCACCATTTCACTGGGACTTGTAATTTTCTGTCCATAGCAGTGCATCTGCCCAGCAGTTTCCACTGGTTCTCTGCCCCCAACCAGAGGACTGCCAGTGTCTTCCTGCTTGCCCTTGCTCAGCAGCCAGGCTAGGGGCTTTTTCCAGTGTCCCAGAAGGGTGCTGAAGCCTTTTTCCCAGTTAGACACTTGGGTACCTASATCCAGCTGAAAGCCAAGGTTTTCATTCCTTCTTTTGTGTACTGTTTTTCCAGTTTCAGCAGCGTACAGCATCACCTCAGATGTTTGCAATAATCATTGACTTTTATTAAGGAGACTTTGTTCATAGTAGTGTTTTTYCTTTCCTCTTTTTATTTTCAAGSCAGTCATTACTTCCCAGTGCCCCAGTTATCATTAACTAACTCYACTGTTATCTTTTCCTTCCCTTCCTTTCCCCAGCACCACTTAAATGACTCATTTAGTGCTCACTTATTTGCCTCATTTGTATTACTAGTTTTATTTTTGTCTTCCAGTGTTTGAGCAGATTCAAATGTGACTTGATGGCTCTGCTGGCACTACTGAGCCTCAACAGAGATGACTCTTCCAGATGGAGGGACAAAATCAAGCTCTTAAGGAGACAGTAAATTCACAGAACATGCAAGGACATGTTGATGTTAAAATGCAACTGATYTTTTAGTCTTGAAGGCTGAAGGGGAATTTGTGAAGGCTGATACACAGAGGTGCTGTAGAAGTGATCCCCACTGCACATTTAGCACTATGATTCCTCTTTCCCATACCAAGCTGGTTTCTGAAAGCAAATTGTGTTTTATGGGCCCAGTGTGCAACAGTCATGCTGCTTCTCATCGTTAGCAGTAAAAATAGCTTTCACTTCATGTTATCAGGCAAGTYCTTTTTCCAAGATTCAACCAGGTTTCTTGTGGTAGAAGTCCCAAATATCTGACTTTTTAGGAATAGTTATGAAGCAGCATTAGAGTAAGAAATGCTATATCCATTTTATTTGCATTCTTGCAAATTGGTTCATCTAAGATTCTCATCTTCTTTGAGATTCCATGGTCTGGCTCTGTGAATAGGATTTGCACCAGTATAATGATTTTGATAAAAAGTTTGTTTTGATTTGATTTGTTTTTAAGTCAACATAGCAGTACCTGTGCATTTTGATATAAAGGTACCTCTACAGTTTTTTAATGCACTTATGTAGCTTTACCATTTCAGAAACCCACAAGAGCCAAAATAGAAATGCAAAAATCCAGGTATGACACCGATTCATGCAGCAGCAAATGTGTGTAAAAGAAAATAACGCTGAACATCATTCTTGATGGTCTGAGCCATGTCATCCTCACACATTGTCACATACTCTGTTATCTTGAATCATCTGGTGTATCGCTTCTGTAAACAGGAGAAAAAGTCTTGTCTTGCTCCAAGTGTGAGCATTGTGTTCGAGAAAGGGGAAGGGAAATTCTGAGAGACAAGTTTATGGTCATGTTTGAGATGTGGACTCCATTGCACAAGTCACTGCCTAGACACGTGCTGACAGTGCTGCTCCTGGCACACAGGCTCAAGTTGTGGCATGTGAAGATGAGGCAGTGAGCGGCCCTGACAGAGCTCCTGGGAGCTCCAGGGACACAAAGCTAGCAAAAGCTAAACCTGACTGTCAGGTTAGCCCGAAGTGCGTGGGACCATGGGCCCCTCTCGTGTCACCGTGGAACAGTCCTGTGGCACCACGAGGTGGTCACAGCCGAGTCCTTTTCTGCCTCTCCTGGTATTTTGGTTGCAGTGTGGTGCCACAAAGCAAAACTTGCAGGGCTGAGAGTGTAAAAGATGTAAAAGTATCCCATCTCACAGTGCTGTGCTGTGCAGGTGACAGCACAGCCTCTCTGACCGTGCCTTTGGTGCCGTGAAAAGGCACAGGAATACATCATCTGTACGTTCATCCAYGTGTGTCCTGTGTTCAAAGCCAGCTCAGTCTCCCAGACTGTGGTGCAAACAGATGGAGACTGACAAGGATACCCTACAGTGGAATCCTGTGGTCCCTCAAAGGYACAGATGCAGTTTCTCCCCTCAGCTCATGCTGGCAGCATCCCTTGCTTACCTTCAAAGAGACTGGAGGCTGGGCCATGTGCTGCTCCTTGCCCTGCCACTACCAAATCCTACCCCTGCAGAWTGTGTGGAAGGGCCAGCAGGCATGCAAGGCCCAAGGAGTAAGAGCAGGGCACCTCTGCCTTTGGCTGGAGATGGACAAGCTGGRCAGGCTACATCACAGGCTCTTGGGAGGAGGGAGAGCAGCCCCTGAGCCTGGGAGGAGCAGGGTGGGGAAGGGCAGTAGGAGGAAGCTGTAGAGGAGCTGGGGTAACAGGCTGGGCTGCAAAACCTCCCCACTCAACCTACTTCAGCAGGGCTGCTTGTTTAAGTGGAATTTAAATCTCTGCAGATATGAGAGGAACTTCCTGGCATCACCCAAAGACGGGCAGGGCTGTGCTGCTCGGGGTCAGGCACGGGCACAGCCAGAGCAGGGAACGAGGTCCTTGATGCCACCGAGAAATTGCTATGGATGTGGGCTCATCATTTCTGTAAAGCACCACTAAATAAGGGAAAGCATAAAAKGTTACCAGAAATAGGATTTTTGGAGGACAGTTCTGCCAAGCACTAGATGCCCAGCTCCCAATTTCACATACAAGCCATTACCTTTGTGATTTGTTCTTTCACAATCCAGAACAGTAGGTATTTACGGTATGTGAGTATTTACAACCTCTTGAATTCAAAATAAGGAGTTAGTTGCTTCTTACCTCAAAATTACAAGATTTTGAGGGGAAAAATGACTTTGGAAAATTTCTTAAATTATATGTGTGTGCATTTTCTTACCTTGCCTCCTGATTTTGTCTTGTAAAGTACATGTTTTCAAACTCCTCCCACAAATTTTGAATGCTGAAAAGCTTTTCTTCTCTTTCATTCCTTCTTCTTTCTTCTCTATCATTTTTCTCTATCCCTTCTTGTCTTTCCACCTGTCCAAGAAAATTAAGAAGCAATAAAATACATTATGTAACTCTAGGTAAAAGTAAAAAAATCATCAAGCTATACTCTGTTACTGTAAAACATTTTCAACAAAAATAAAGAAAAAATTGAAATGCAAGGGACAGAGTTCAATTTCTGTGTCAGAGAAGTCCAAATTGATTTAYGTCTGGCAGGTACTATAGTTGATTTTTACTTCTCCAATTCTRTCWCCTCGGCTGTGGAGGTGAAGGAAASTTTTCTAAAAACCCAATMCYCTYTATTAGTAATATTTTCTCAKGCTCACCACTCCCTCCCTCCTTTYTCAGCATCATTTTCTCCACAGGGTGACAGGATTACAGCTGTCGTGCCCGTTCCAAGTTGTRGTGCACRCTCTGTCATCTATGTCATTGTACTTTGTATCACTCTGTATCTTGCTGGCAGTAAAAAAGTGACACAAATTGTTTTCGTGCCAGATAAAAAATTGTCTAATAGATTTAATGCTCATAGCCTAATGTGAGGAATAATATTATATGAGCAACAGCAGTCAATCTGCTCATAATGGTATTGTGTCCCCTGGTATTGCTGGGGGAGAAAAATTGAGCCTGTGGAAGCTCAGCACCTTTCTGAGCAGCTCTGCAGACTCTGGTGCCAGGGCTTACAGCAYTGTGACCACACAGCTGCAAAGCCAGCGGGCTGATGTGAAAACTCAACTTGGAAATGGAAAAGGAAATGGAAACTTAGCTCAAGGCTGGGAGTTGTGTGTGCTCAGCAAATGGTACAATGAAACCCTGGCAGCTGAAAAAAAAAAAATAGCAACGTGAGTACAGCTTGTTGCACAGAATTGTGATTTATCTGCTTTTCTTTTCAATAGTTCCAGTGGCATCATGATGTAGGATTTTATAGCCWATTAAATCATGCCTGACGTTTATGGATGTAGTTTAGAGTGCATGCATTATGGAGAGTTAGTAACCTCTCCACGGCTGAGCAGCAGTTTCCACTCAGAGGTCTCACTCCATCCTCACATTCTTTTATACATTGAGCTCAGACAMAACCAAATACACTCCAAAGAAAAAGATTTTGTGAAGAATACAGAAGATAAACAGTTTTTCTGTTCCCATTGTGCTTGGTTTGTCCTGATCTGAAACGGCCTTAATTTCTGCTGCTGCCTCCCATTCCCAAAGGACAGTGCCACCCAGAAGAGTTGACCACAGCTTCTGCAGGCACTGCACATTCTGCCACCTCCACCACAGCAACCAGATCACCCTCTCCMAGGAGACAGGGAGCAATCAGCCCGGGCTGCTGATGGTTCTCTCCGGTGCGTGTAGGGAGTGGCGTCATTAGGACCGGAAACTTCAGCTGACCCCAATATTAGCTGAGGTGGGTGGATCTGTGTGCCTGACCTGGTTTGTCTCTCTCACAGTGGTGGGATCAGCAGTGCTGCCCACCCAGCACRGAGTTCACTGCCCCTTCCCAGCCTCGAGGGTGGACAGCAGCTCACTGGGCTGGCCCTGCAGCCGCTGTCTGCACCSTCTGTCTGGGGTTGCACCCATTGGGGCAGGCTGAGAGGGCACCCAGGAAGAAGCAGCAGGGAGGGCAGCTTGAACAAGTACTGTCAGCTGTAGAGAAAGGGAAGAGCAGGGCAGTGGGTGAGGATGGAAAAGGCAGTTGAGAAGAGGACCAGGGTTTTTGTTYGAGAGGCTTTGCCAGCAATTCCAGGGGGGCAGAGAGAGGGAGAAAGCGATCAGATAGTGGCTAGAGGTGATCCCAATGGAATTCAGGGGAATTCAGCCTCCTTGCCTGTTGCCCTGCAGCCARGGAGACTCCTCTGTGTCAGAGGACTTTGTGACCAGGAGAAAGGAAGACACTTCCATGTGCCAGGGCCTGAGCTAAGTGCAGATTGCAGTGGTCACAACTACCACTGCAAGAGATAAAGACACGTTTCACTCTCAGATATCATCTTACAAGCRCTAATTAAGTTTTTATGACATCCATGTGAGGCAAGCACACGAGCACTGCTCCTRTTTTAAAGCTGGGACAGGAGAGAGGGTGAGTACCCTGCTGAAGGCCGAGTGCTGACTCAGTGGCACTGCCACCATCACCAACCAGGAGCTCCTGGTCCCCAGCCTGGCCCATGAACCACAGCAGCCTCCCTGCCAAGAGAAGAAAGTGAGCTGATTTTTCAAGTGCTTTGATGAGAGAAGGAAGGTTAGAAACAGCCTGAGGATGTTTCTAGAGGAAGTGTCAGGGCTGCAGTAGAGTTTTGGAGGAGGGGGCAGGAAAGGGATGGTGGTGAAGGAACTTTTGATACAAACGGTTATGAAGGGCAAGGCAGTGGCAAATCAAAACCCAATGATGGGAGGAAAATGAGTCAATAGACAAAGTAGATTTTCTTAAGAGACGCCTATGGGAGAGGACAGAGGTAACAGCAGCAGTAGAAAGAGCAGCAAATGGGAGGGATAAAMAAACCACAGCGACAGTGAGCACAGCAGCCTTTGAAAGTATCAGGAGACATAAAAAAAATGCCACCAAACAACAGAGCCTGGGCAATTCCAATCACACCACTATCCCTTCACAGCAGCTGGAGATCTCAGAGCCCTCCAAGAGCATCATTCCTTTGTTTCACCTCTGGGACAACTGAGGCTCAGAGCAGTGAAGTCACCTGCCCACGGTCACACAGCAAGGCCAACACATTATTCTGCTTTAARCTGTTGCAGTAAATGCAGGGAAGTAAAACAGACAGGGGCACACAGTTCTCAGCAGCATAGGAAAGAAAAAGACCAGATGTCAAGACTGGAAAAGACCAGAAAAAGATTGATGCCAACAGCCCAAGTTTATTTTTTTATGGTTCTAGAATATATAATATCAAGTAAAATGACATTTGGAAGCTGTGAGCTAGCRTTAGTGTGGTTTGTGCCCCACAACAATTAATCCCTTCCGTTTTCCAACTTTCAGAAAAATTAAGGTAACGATTAGTAGCTACAATTACRAAAATKGAGAGAYGTRTATRCCATTTCACAACACTAAATATTGTTACATTCCTAAAGTCCTTAGAGATAGAAGAGAATAGGATGGACTAGAATAGGAAAGGACCTGCAGTCGAAAGAAAAGACCTGGAAGCTGCATATGACCACTGTCCTGGTGGGATCATTTGTTTGTGATAGTTACGTGCCACAGCAGAGAAACTGTATGCCTGACAGCCTGTGGCTGCCACATCTAAAGGAGTATTCTCTGAGAAAGTAGAAGCTCAGAAAATTGTCACCAGCACTGATTTGAGGCAGCACAATGTTTTTAGGGCATAGGAAAGTGAGATGTTTTTGTAAAAGTTCCTCTTCATTTAAAAATCTTCACCTTTCTCCACCTCTTTTTCCTCATAAGAAATCAAGAAATGCAGCTATTTTTCTGCCGTGGTTTGAGGAGGACACAGTGGTAGGAGCTGTGCAGTGCTACCACCCTCTGGCCACTGCCAACAGCACCGTGTTCAATCTGCAGGAGCACCCTGAGCTCCATCCTCTGCCTTGCACACCTCTGGGAGACAAACTCTGCCTTTCAGTGCACCCAGAGAAGAGASACAGTGATTTCACCTTCTGATGCAGCTCTACACAATGCCTTTTTGGGCTGCTTGTTATGGTAAAGAGATCTCATCTGGATGAAGGATGCAAAGGTCAAACACTTCCAGATGTGTTGGTCCTCCACTGGTCCAGCTCACTCCAGGCAATTGCAGATCTCCTCCAACAGAAACATTCTATTCTATTCTATTCTATTCTATTCTATTCTATTCTATTCTATTCTATTCTATTCTATTCTATTCTATTCTATTCTATTCTATTCTATTCT